TAACTTCGCCGTGTACTCGGCGACATCTTTCTTGCCATACATTCATAAATAAATAAAAAACACCAAAGTGTTTCTTCTTAGATTTTGCGTTTCTTCAAGTTCATTGAGTCGGAAATTCTTTGGTGACGTGACTGCACCTGTGCAACCAATTAGTCTAACCGGTTTTGTTTGAAAGAATTGGTGATCGAGCGATGGAAGATGAATGTGAAATTACAGGTCCAAATCTACCAGTTTTTCCCGGGAGAACTCTTCTTTTTTTTGGGTGAAAAATAAACAAATAATTCAAAAAAACTTGAGGATAAATAATCAATCGAAATTATAGTTTTAACCGGTTTTAAGTAGATATTGGTTAGAGATCAATGATCAAGATTTGATAGCATGTATCTCACGGCTGCAAATTAGCCGGCATGGGTGCCGGCACTGTACCACAGAACTCGCCTGATTGAGTTATTACCCGCAAGACTAAAGTTCAATTTTAAGCATATTTTCATGCACACGATAGTTACAAATATAAGAGCTTAACATATTGAAAATCAATTCAATCACAACAGTCACTTTCTTCCACGACGACGTTTCATCCTCGGAGAACTGACTCTTCCTACTGTGTCGTTTTGGGTAAGCTCACGGGCCTCCTTTCACTTGCTGGAACGATGTCGTTTCCTTCTTCTTTCGGCTGTGCTTTACTTTTAATCCAAGATTTGTAGTGTTTCCTTTCCAAGCTACCAAACAAACAGCTATGGAGCTTGTCATGTAATGACTTTGTGTTGCCTATAAGAGGCAGAGTTTCAATGAGAAAGATAGGTTTTAGGGTTTCATTTCACATCCAAGTTCTTTGTTATGGTATTAGAGCCCGGAGTTCAACCCTAGCCACCACACTCATTTCCTACGATGGCTGACAATCAAGGCCAAAATGAGCCTCATGTCAAGCAACCCAATGTTGCTCCTCCTGCTCCTATCGACCCTTCATCATATCTGTTCTTTCTCCATGGCTCCGAGCAGCGTGGATCGCTTCTCGTGGCAAAAAAGCTCACGGCAACAAACTACAACGACTGGAACAGGGCATTGTTCAACGCTCTAGCAGCCAAAAACTTGGTTGGCTTCATCAATGGTATTATCCCAGAACCAGCAGCAACAGATGACAGACTTGGTTCTTGGATTCAACAGTCCACATCTCCAGACATCAGAAAAACTATCCTCTACATCAAAACTGCAGCTAAAGCATGGATAAGCCTTCAAACACGCTTTGGATCTGGAGATCTCATCCGCATAGCTAAACTAGAAGAAGCTCTTTCCACTCTCCAGCAAGGTACTCAATTAGTTACTGAATATTATGGGCGAGTAATTACTTTAAGAGATGAACTTGAAAATTATCAACCACTGCTCCCTTGTGCTTGTACACCTACAAGCCATAATGATTGTGCTGCTATGATTCGAGTACTTCAATATCATGAGACAAGTTATGTCATCAAATTCCTTCATGGATTAAATGACAATTTCTATGGTGTAAGAGCCCAAGTTCTGTTTGGAGATGAACTTCCAAACATCAACAGAGTTTTTCAAAGGATGCTTCAACATGAACGCCAACTCTATGGAACTCAAACTTCCCGGATGGTTGCTTCCTTTCAGTCAGATTCCTCTGCTATGGCTTTTCAATGTGTCAACAGAAGGGGTTCCAACAATTCTAAACCTTCATTCTGCACATTTTGAAAAAGAGAGGGACATACAGAAGATATATGCTTTCAAAAACATGGTTGGCCTCCAGGAATGTCCAAACCCAACCCATCTGCTAGTGGCACAATCACTACCTGCACATTTTGCAAAAGAAGGGGACATACAGAGGAGAAGTGTTTCCAGAAACATGTATATCCAGCAAACTTTGTCCCAAGAAATGGTCCTCCTGTTCCTCCAAGAGGGAAACCTGCTGTCAACATGACCAGCACCTCATCTTCTGCTGATGAAGTAAAACTCACCAAGGATTATGAAAAACTTATGAGCCTCATGAATGCTCAAACGAGTCCTTCTTCTTTCTCTGCTGCAGCCTATCTTACTCAATAAGGTACTAGTCAACATTCACTACCTTCCTTACCTATATTGAGTGTGTCTCAAAGTCCACATCAGAGATGGATTGTTGACACATGTGCTTCAGACCACATAGTGTGTTCCTTAGCATATCTACAAGACACAAAGACCCTAGACAATGTTTTTATAACTCTACCAACTAGGGAACAGATTCATGCCACTCATTCTGGCATTGCCTTTTGCAGTGATGACTTAGTACTCCATGATGCTTTATATGTTCCCCACTTCACATTTAATCTTATTTTAGTCAGCAGACTCACTTCCAGAAACTCTCTTTGCCTAACCTTTCATTCAACCATGTGTCTTATACAGGATCTGAAGCAGACGAGAGTGATTGGTTCTTCTAGACTTTGCAATGGTCTCTATTTCCTTGAAGCCTCTCTTTTTCCTAAGCTAGTCTCAGCTGCTTCCACTTCCATCTTTGACTTATGGCATTTTAGATTAGGACATGTATCCCATTCTAAAATCCCCATTATCAAACAATTTTGTACCTCCATTTCTACTCATCAAGACCATTCCTGTGATATTTGCCACTTTGCTAAACAAAAGAGGCTTCCTTTCCCTTCCAGTCAATCTGTAACTGTCTTACCTTTTGATTTGCTACATGTAGACATTTGGGGCCCAAACTCTACCCCCACTTATGATGGCTTTAAGTACTTCTTGACAATTGTAGATGACTATTCTAGAATGACATGGATCATATTGCTTCAACTTAAATCTGAAGCACGACCAAAGTTGATTGCCTTCTGCAACCAAATGGAAAGATAGTTTCAAACAAAAATTAAAAGGATCAGGAGTGATCAAGGAAAGGAATTCCAGATGGATGATTTTTTCTCTTCCACTGGCATCCTTCATGAGATGTCCTGTGTAGAGACTCCTCAACAAAATAGTAAAGTAGCGAGGAAGCATCAGCACATTCTTGCTGTAGCTAGAGCACTTCAGTTTCAAGCTAACTTACCTCCAACTTTTTGGGGTGACTGTATCAAACATTCAGTTCACCTCATCAATAGAGTTCCCTCTCATGTGATCTCCAATCAAACTCCTTTTCAAATGCTCTACAAATCCCCTCCTGATCTCAATGAACTTAGAGTATTTGGCTGTTTATGCTATGCCAGTACTCTAAGCAATCACAAATCCAAATTTCAACCTAGAGCAAGAAAAGTTGTTTTCCTAGGTTTTCCTTCTGGAATCAAAGGCTACAGACTGTATGAACTATCCACTCATGAAGTTTTCATATCTAGGGATGTCATTTTCTTTGAGACACACTTTCCTTACCAATCTATTGACCAGCAAGAACAATACTCCAATTCATCAGACTTATATCTTCCCATTCCTTCCACTGAATCTCATCTTGTTCATGATGATTCCATCACTCCCACCTCTATTGAACTTCCACAACAACAAAATGCCATTCATTCACCTGAACCAGCAACAAATTCTGGTTCCTCTTTTTCTGAACCATCAACCAATCCCGCCTCCAATGACATTTCCAATTCATCTCCTACAACTATTCCAAATCCCACACCTCCAAGAAATCCTTCACCTCCACCTCCTGCTCCTAGACGATCTGACAAGACTTCTAAACCACCTTCTCACCTAATTCAAAACTACCATTGTTACCTGTCACAAGGTCTTAGCAGCATCAATCACTCAACTCTGCAACAGGTTCAAGATACCAGGTATTCCTTCTCAACCATGCTCTCTTATGACAAACTTTCCCCTACTCACAAACATTTTCTCCTCAACATTTCAAGTCACAAAGAACCTCAAACCTATAATGAGGCTTATCAACTTGACATCTGGAATGATGCAATGCAGCTTGAAATCAAAGTTTTGCTCAAAAATCAAACCTGGGATGTGGTCAGTTTGCCTAAAGGTAAAAAAACCAATAGGCAACAAATGGATTTATAAAGATAAATTCCTTTCTGATGGCTGTCTTGAGAGACATAAAGCCAGACTAGTGGCAAAGGGCAATACTCAACAAGAAGGGGTGGATTATCAAGATACATTTGCTCCTGTCATCAAAATGACAACAGTGAGGATTTTTCTAGCAATTGCAGCCATGAGGAACTGGCATATCCATCAATTGGATGTCAACAATGCCTTCCTCCATGGTCACCTTGAAGAAGAAGTCTACATGACTCTACCTAAAGGCTATACCCCTCCTCCTGGCATTTCTAACCCAGTTTGCAGATTAAGAAAATCCATTTATGGTTTGAAACAAGCATCCAGACAGTGGTTTTCCAAGCTTACTGACAAACTACAACAAGTGGGGTATGTTCAAAGTCAAGCAGATCATTCACTTTTCTTCAAAGTCACAGAATCCAACTACACATGCATTCTAATCTATGTGGATGATCTGGTCTTGGGAGGGAATGATCTAAAAGAAATTCAGGAACTCAAACAAGTTCTTCACAATGAATTTAGTATTAAAGATTTTGGAAATCTGAGATGTTTTTTGGGAATTGAAGTGGCTCGCAGCACATCTGGAATTCATCTATCACAGAGAAAGTATGCTTTGGTTATCCTACACTGCTTTGGGGGGGGGGGGGGGGGGGGGGGGGTAACAGAATGAAAATCAATTCAATCACAACGGTCACTTTCTTCCACGACGACGTTTCATCCTCGGAGAACTGACTCTTCCTACTGTGTCGTTTTGGGTCAGCTCACGGGCCTCCTTTCACTTGCTGGAAAGATGTCGTTTCCTTCTTCTTTCAGCTGTACTTTACTTTTAATCCAAGCTTTGTAATGTTTCCTTTCCAAGCTACCAAACAAACAACTATAGAGCTTTTACTTTTAATCCAAGCTTTGTAATGTTTCCTTTCCAAGCTACCAAACAAACAACTATAGAGCTTGTCATGTAATGACTTTGTGTTGCCTATAAGAGCTTCAATGAGAAAGATAGGTTTTAGGATTTCATTTCACATCCAAGTTCTTTGTTAGAGCTCGATCTCCACCAAGATAAACCTACTAATAATGATTTCATTTTGAGTATCAAACCTACCACTAATAAATGTTAGTTACACACTTGCTCTGCTTTGGATCAATCATATCCTCCTAACGGACCATACCATGAATCACGAATCATCCCATATTTTGTTGAGCTAGTTGTAATGGCTTAGCTTAGCTTAGCTGTACCACATACACAACTTGGAAAAAGCCATGATTGTCCATCCAACCAATTCACATATCTTTCTTCCATTCCCATTCAGGGGAGGTCAAAACTGAAAACAGAACGATTAGAAATGAAAAAGGAGTAAAATAATTTAGCTAAAGAAAGAATTATTACAGCTTGAGATCCAAATCAAGGCTACTATGCAAATCCCCAGAGCCAGAGCCAGAGCAGCTCTGATCTCTATCTACCACCACCGATCGAAAGCTCCCCGGCCAAACCAAACCCACGGCTGTCCCTTCTTCCGGCAAAAACGACGGCGCCCAAATACTACCCATCCCAATTCCATCCCTTTCCCTCCCTCCGAATCTCGCCACCGCCGCCCCTGCCGCCGCCGCCCCGGCAGGCTTGTGAACCAGAGAGTGCGGTTGGACGCCGAGCGACCGAGCGGCTGCCAGAGGCGGCGAGAAAGAGGAAGAGTAGTTATTACCGCAATTTTGAGCGAAAGGGTAGCCGATGGAGGCGGCGGCGGCGGCCATCATCATCCGCTGGGAGTGGAAGAACCTCTTGGCGGCGCCCCTCTCTCGCTTGTGGGCGTTCTGGTGGCCGCCGAGTGCCTGGGAGCTGTAGAATTTCCTCATGCAGAAGTTGCAGGAGAAAACCTTGTGGTGGGTCGCCGAGGAAGAAGGAGGAGTTGTGTGATCGGAATCGTTGTTGTCGTCGTCGTTTTCATGTCCCCTGCCTCCACCAGATGCTCTGTTTTTCATGCCTAGGCTCAACCATTCTTGTTCTTCGATGTAGATCTCGTCAGCTTCTGCTGCTGCTGCTCCATGCTCCTGGCGATCTGCTTCATCGCCCTGGGAAACCATGGTTTTGATGGCTGATTACTGAGGAATTGATGACACGGGAAGTGTTTGAGAGGGGAGAAGAGAAGTTCCAGTGGGAAATGAGAGGTGAGTTGGGTGGGAATTATTTGGAGTTCTTTGGTGTTGGGTTTTATGCTCCCTTCTTATTGCCCTTTACTGGTATGGAAGGGGCTTCTTTTTTTCCCCCCCAAAGATCCCACATTGCCATTGGTGTTAGTCATTATTACTCTCCACTGTAACACCCACTTAAAAACTTTGAGATTTGAGTATTTGTTCCCCTGTTCGACTAGCTAAGGATTCAAACATCCCATCGTTAATATTTTAAACATCCTTTTGTCTTGGTTTTCTTTTGGTATTTTTTTCTTCGCAACTTGGGAGGGTTTGCACTTTGCAGTATGTGAATATCACTATACCAATATTTATCATGTTTTAGGTTCGAAGTCAATTTCTTTGTAGGATAAAACCAATTTTATTATTAGACTCATGTGCAGCAGCGAAAATGTAGATGATATCTGCTTGGGTTGTTAATGAATCAAGTCGCTAATGAACGATTCGGTGTCCGACTCGAGAAAAACTCGCTCGACACTTGATTTTTTTTAATCGAGCCGGCTCGCGAACAAGCTCGTTAACTAAACGAGCCGAACTCGAGCCATACCATGTCCAATTCGAAAGCTCGTGAACAAGCTCATTTAACGGTTTGGCATCGGAAAGGATTAGAATTTATGGTTTTTATGTATTGAAATTGGGATAAACATTGTATTTTATTTTGCTAGACTTTGTTACATGGTTGAATGTAATTTTGTGATAAGTTCTAGGTCAATTTTGAGCTATCATGAACACTTTACGAGCTGAACTCGATTTTGGGCTTGTTAATCTTATTTGACGAGCCGAGCTCGAACTTGAATATTAAAGCTCGTGATGAACACGAGCCCAGCTCGAACTTGAAAATATATAAACGAGCTGAGCCCGAACAATGACAAAACTCGGCTCTGCTCGGATCATTAACAATCCTAACTTTCAGGTAGTAACTGACACAGTGTAACATGGTATAGGGATTTCTAGCTTCCATTTGCAATTTTATGCACTCGATCCAACTGAACTAGTCCTGAAAAGAAAGAATTATTGAGAATGCAATAAGGCATCCATACTAACTTGAGCATATGTAGATGGAGATATTATATTTGTAGACCATCATATGTCGCTCCACCACCTCTCTACTTTTCGATATCTTGTCCAATCAAATTTTGAACATATGTAGATGGAAATATTATACTTGTATACTTCATATTTCTATATCAAGATTGCAAAGCAATATGTTGATACATTATTCAAAAAAATTATCTTTGTATATTTCTAATTATATCCTAATTTAACATTGTCAAATTTTATAAATCTTGTAGAAGGACGAAGCATGAGGATGGTCATTGCTCAAGTTAGTGAAGCGATTACTACAAAAGTTGGTCCATATCAGCAAGAAAATTATCCACAAGACTTTTATGATCAGGTAGATATTACGTAAGTCAACTTTTACCATTAAAGAAATTATATCTCCTCTCAACATAAGTAATACTCGATTGTGCCCGCTTGGAAATCTGGATTAGGCACAAAGCAATATAATTGAGGAGATACAAATTTTCAATTAGTTAGATTGTCTAGGGATATGATAATTTCCCTCTCCAAATGTTGAAAGTGATTTTTCAAACAATCATAATTCCTCCCCAAAAAGAATGCATTTTTATATAATATTTGTTGATATATTGACAAATTATTACTGTGGACGTGAGTAGTTTTTCGCCATTTGTTTTAAAGTTAAAAGAAAAAAAACTCATAAATAATGGTATTCTGCTTTCATCAGATTGATTCTGGAACAGAAGCTTAATCGTCGGTAATGCCCATCACAAGTCCAAATCAAGGCCCACTTCTCAGATTCCTGTCTCCTCCCACCATCCTTTTGTGTTTTAGTTTTATTTTCCAAATTATACTTCCAATGGGTGATGATAAATAAAGAAAACCCTAGTAATTGACACAAATAGTGAGGACTTGGAACTTAATATGGTCCCTCCTACCATTTCTCTTGGATTGATAAACACCAGATCATCAGCTACCTTCTCCCATGCATTTCTAGACATATGTTTTGAAATAACCAATTGATTTAATAACTCGAGTAGTTGGGAGATATTCAATAATAAACCATATACTATTTATTAGCACATTCACTCAAGCGAAAGCTACTGTGTATGGACTTGAAGTTTACACAATTCCGAATACCATTTACCTAACAAATGAGGTAGCCATGATTCGAAAAGAAGATCTCTCGATCGCACAAAGTTTGGATACCATGTCAAGAACTAATTGATCTCAATAACTCACGTTGTTGGTAGACATTCAATTATGTATCATATATAGTGGCGGAGGGAGGTTTTGAGGAGAGGGGCTCTGGGACTCCACTTGGCAAAAAATTAGGCCACAAAACCCTTTAGATACATAGGATTTAGTACGATGCTTCAAGTTTAGTATCTCATACTCTTGTCTAGGGGTGGCTATACGGTCCGGTCCGGTTAAATTGACCTGAATTGATCCGGTCCCGGTCCGGTCTTTTCGAGAATATAAGGACCAAAGATTGGATTAGATACAGTCCGCTCTTGAACCAGTCCAGTCCCAATTCGATCTTGATTTTAGATTGAACTTATGGGAATTTGAGTGGTCTGAGGCCTGAAAGGTTGAGGAGGTTAAATTTTGGGTGTTAGGCTCTCTTATCCGGTCTTTATCTTGTTTTCGGTCCACTCCCAAATGGTTTTTTAACTCAAATCTAGGCCCGAAGATTGGATTGAATTGTTTGCTATCCGGTCCTGGTCAGGTCTCGGTTCGAGTTATACGGTCCGGTTTCGGGTAAAACCAAAAAGCTCGGACCAAATAGCCAGCCCTACTCTCGTCGATGTTAGCTCACATTAGGACCACAATCAATTCAAAATTCATTAGATACACAGGTTTTAGTATTAGTAATTTTTTAAGAACTCCAATGAACTCAAAGTCTGGTTACGCCACTAATCACATAGACTATTTATTAACAATATTGTGCATTCCAGTTGCATTACAATTACTCAACCAACGAACAAGTCGGTGTAGTATAAGCACCAACCCCATTGAAGTCAAATCGAATGGCTTATTACAACAGCCTCTGGTGCTTCCATTCCAATTCCATGCAAAGGGGTCGTGCATATTATGGACCACTAACTTTTTGGAATGAGTGTTGTCATGATTCATGAATCCTATATTATGTACTGTTGTGATGGAGAAGTTCCCATTTTCATTGGTGATGGGGAAAAGGTAGGAAAATTAGGTTCAGTGGAGTTTTGAGGAAGAGGCCAAGTTGGAGAACTAAAGATAAAAGTGATGGAGATAGGAAAGTGGGCATGCAGCAGTAGTAATTAGTTTCTCGGACGAAAGAAAGCTTTCCATTTTATAGGACAAAACCCATCTCAACCCCTCCTTTATCTTCATCCTCTTTGCATTATTGTTGTATTAAACAGTGTAGGGCATCTTTCAGGGTATCACAAACAAGTTATACTACTCTTCAACAAACCAATAGGCTCAAAACAAATTGGCCCACAGAAACACATTACCAGATATGTTTCAAAGCTTGAAATTAATATATTCCCACATGGTTGAATTTGGATTTTGTAGAGGGTGTGTTTGAACCGAATGATTTGAATTTGATATTTGTGATTTGTATTTTCAAATATCAAATCGTCTGTTTGGTATTAATTACATTTGGTATTTGGATTTGTGTCAAACTCATGAGATAATTTTCATATATATGTCTAGTGTATTACTTGTCAACTTCAAATACATTCATTTCAAATGCATGTATTACAAATAGTTTACATTTGAAATACACCTATTCAAATGGACCCTAAAAACACTTTCAAGTCATATGTGAGACTGTGCTCATAGGTGTCTCTTGTTATTGGGTCTATAATTCGCAACTACTGGATGTAAATTGTCACTATGTTTATCCAACGATCGTGAATCGCCAACGTAAGGTCAAACTACACCAGATGTATGTGAACACCAATAGCTGGATTTGATTGAATTTGAGATCATTCATAATTATCTACTATATAAAAAGCCATAGCAGTTTCAAGATTCATCTTGAGTTATCAAAAACATATTGATGGAATGATAACATTAGTTTAGTTACATGAACTCAAAGAACAAATCAAGTCAAATACCAAGGTTAAACAAGAAGACAGGTATGCTACAAGCTCGAAGTTTTGGTAAGAGAGTATATTACAACAATGAACAAGCAGGTATGCTACAAGTTCGAAGCTTTGGTAAGAGAGTATATTACAACAATGAACAAACGCTTTCTCATTGGGTTTGAGATTCTAGGAAACGAAAATTACCCAAATCAGCCAAATAGGAGATCAGAAGAATAATGGCTTGGAGAGAGAGAGAGAGAGAGAGAGAGAGAGAGAGAGAGCGAGAGCTGTACCATCATCTGGTTAGGTCAAGTGACATTTATCCAAAGCTTAGTCTTGAAGTCACTCAGTCGAGAGTCAAGTGGAGAATGCATGCAATCAATCATATTCTTTGTTTAGGTTGGCGGGTCCGACAAACCAAGCAATAATGCTCATAAAAAGCTAGGGAATGGGGGAAGGAAGAAGGTGGGTCTGTCTGTCTGTTTCCCTATGGGTTTTGATGCTAAAAATCAGAAGAGGATCTATGTGAGTGAGAGTGTATTTGATGTAATGGGCAATGTGTAGATGTGCGGTAGAGGAAGTGCAAGTGCAAGTGGATTTTGAACCAACTACTTCGTTTTCTCTTATTTGCCTTCTCATTTTAATCTCAGTATTATAATAGAACGGTCTTTTTCCAAAAGATATTATGTTCAAAGATTTTTTAATTATGACGGGTGAGATTTACATACAAAAATAATAATAACTTTAAAATAATTGCCACAAAAATTATATTCATTTTCCTTCCTTCGCTTACCTTTTCCTCCATTAGTTGTTAGCATCTCTGATAGGGGTGGGCAATAGGTGTGTTGGGTGGATTTCGGTCTTAAACTGACTCCACCTGCTAAGTATTGAGTTGACTAGGTAACAACTAAGTCTAAGTAGTCTAGGATATTCTGACCCTTGTAATACGACGTTGGTCACTATTCTACTTCGTCAATCTAGGATGCACTTGTCTTGTGTTGGGGTAACTAGTATTATCGACGATCGAGTTTATAAATTTAAACCTCAATGCGCGAGCACATCAAGTTCTTGGCGCCAATGTCGAAGAACTAAGTTAACTAGTATGTGGGTATCAACCATCCATCGAAAGGTGTTACCCCAGGACTTCAAGAAGGAATGGAGCCCAAGGATCCCGGTTTCAACAACCACCACTCTATGATCATCAATGGCACCCCATGGTTTCCAAGTTCCAACCATCATTTGAAGAACCACCTCAACAATCTAGGGTGAAGAACGAGTTGGAGATGGCCTAGAGCGATTTGAAGAGAGTATGTGGGCATTGAAACAACTCACCCAACTCCAATCTCTGAACCAAAAAACCTCATGGAGCTCGAATTTGAAAGATTCATGGTCGAGAATTAAAAAAAAAACTAGCATCCAAGTGCTGCAACATCTCAATGGAGTGCATAGATGTTAGCGAACCCAACATTTTGGGTACTTTCGTATCAAAGACATTAATTGAGAGGGAAGGTGGCTCAAAGATGTGGAGACCGAAGGGATACCTTCTTATACAGGAGATCCCAATCCTTATACTCAAGAATTCCTCGTTGAACAAGAAAATATGCTTTATAGGTTGGAAAGAAGAATAGAGAACTAGAACATCTTTGTTCGAGACTCAATCAAGATCGCCTCTTGGACATCATCAATGAAGCGAAAGAGAAAGTGGTAAAAGAGGAAAAGAGTCTCGAAGGTGGACAATCCAGTGGACCTCGATGTTCCATGTATTGAAAAACTTGCTTGGGAAGACCATCATTGTTCCTGATCAACAATATTAATGGATAAAGAAGGGAACATGAATGAGGTTGTAAGGAAGGAAGAAGAACATGAGTGATAAGAGCTTGTACTCAACATGGGAAAGATTCTTCACAAGAAAGAAAGGTGGTTGAAGATTCAATTGGAGTCCGATCAATGGACAAGGTTTAGAAGGATGAAGCTTCAACAAGTTACACGAGCTACCAAAGCTTTCCACCCGACCTTGATGCACTTTTAGAGAATGACCCTTTTGCGATTTCTCTTCGCCAAGACAAGGCCACACCATCATCAATCCCTCTTGGTGGATTCAATGGTGGTCAATCAAGGTTGCGATACATGTGTGCACAACTTTCTACCTATTTTGGACTAAAAACGTTTGCAAATGTGCTCAATTTTGAAAAATAAAAATATCTTGAACAATTGAGGTTCTAATGTGTGAGGCAACCACACATAGTATTTGAGTTGAGCAGTTGAAGGGCTCTTCTCTCAGTCTGGAGTGCCAATTGAGTATGTGTTTGGGGTTCGGATAGCTTTACCGCATCCCGATCATCATTTACTACCCCCCCCCCCCAACACCTCTCCTCATCATGGGTTCGTATGGCAAAATACAAAGCACCTTTTAGCGAACCACGAGACCTCGACCCTCGTTTGAACCCGACATGTGTGGCAAACTCGTGTGTCGTTGAGACAAGATATGCAGACTGTGAACTAGTGCACGGCCAATGAATTCGACCATCAAGTTCCCCATATGATGCCAAGTTAGGGATAAAAATGTTTCTTTCATGCTTGGTCATGAGAGAGAGAGATGCCTATTTGCAAGAAAAATTGAAAATGTTTGATGCCAAGTGCGGCAATGTTCAATATAGGAGAATCAAGGAAAAATTAACTCCTCTCTTGAAAAGTAAGAATAAAGAGCACCCTCTAAGAGTCCAATGTTTTCATTGTTTTTTAGAGTCCCCCGGACCACATCTTGAATGTCCAAACCTATAGTTCATACCATGTTGATCGTCTATCAAGTTGTACTAGTTTGAGTAGGTTTGCTCGGGAACAAGCAAACACCTAAGTGTGGGGGAGTTGATAACACCTTATATGGTGTTATCTAGTCCTTCTTTTTAGGTTCATTTGAAGTCATTTCTTGTTCGCATTGGCTGATATGTTCTGAAATATAACCCTAATTTCATTTATTGGAGAATATATTGTCATTGGAGTGTATTAGATGATATAAACAATTTAGGTACCAAAAAAGGGCACAAGTGTAGGAAAAGGGGCAAAAATGGAGATCACAGCTGAAGGAGCCACCAAGGGAGGAGCATGAAAAGAGGGCAAGAACTACAGCAAAAAGATCATAGCCTTCAGTGTTAAGATCACGACCACAAACTCTAATGCCAAGGGCGTAAACTTCAGCAGTAGCCACCATGGAAGGAGCAGAGAGTCTCGATAGTTGACTTGCGGTTCTCTTCATCCATGCCCATTATATAATCGCGGCCGTGACATTCCGGATCGCGACTGTTATGTCAAGCCACGAACTCCACATCCAGCCAATCGTAAAATAACGACCCTTATGATCGCGCCTCTCACCCAAAGATCATGATTGCGATCTTCTGCCCCGTGCCTGTGTCCTCATAATTCTATAAATATGGGACTCCCCTCCCCATGAATAGATTGGCTTTTGGAAGATTTTTTATTATGGAGTGAGGTTAGAGAGAAGTTGAAGGAAGGAGGAGGAGCCAATGTGATGCAAACGCATGCACCAACCATGCAACGTAGGCGACGTAGTTCCTTGGTTCCTTTTTTGTTTTGGTTTTCCTTTGTTGTGTCGGCTTTTGTTTTTCTTTCTTAGTCGGTTAGGGCTTGTGTTAGTAGCTTTCTTTATAAAGGCCTTGAGTCCTTTGTATTTCGACAGAACATTTAATTGGAATAGAAGAAGAAAAGAGGAGTTTCCTCGCATATCTCGGCTATTCGTAGAATCAACGAGTTGCGATCAATCGTACTTCCATCCGCGTACGCTGCATCAGATTGGTATCATAGCACGGCTGATCCTGAGGGATGCCGCCCCGTAGGAAGGCGCGAGCTACGGCCGCAAAAGATGCTGACTTTGCTGACTTGCGACGTGAGAACGACGAGGTTCGCCGCGACAATGATGACCTAAGGCACCAGATGGAGGTCTTAACCCAACGAATGGATGAAGTCGTACAGATGCAACGCCAGTATGACGACGTTACCATCGTCGACGAGAACCCTTTCGCGAGATTGCGGAATCATTCGCCTGAACGCCCTAATCACATGTGGGAGCAGGGCTTTCAAGTGGAAACTCCCCAGTTTGATGGTAGTTTGAAACCGGAAGAATTCATAGATTAGGTCACTCAGGTGGAGGAAATTTTGGATTTCAAGGAAGTCCCCGAAGATCGTCGTGTTTCCCTAGTCACGATCCGGTTATATGGTCGTGCTCAGGCATTAGGGGTGATAGTCGGTTCGGTTACGGTTTAACCGAACCGACAGGTCGGTTAACCGCAGCCGATTACATGCCCAAACTCCCAACCGAAGCCGACGCCGATACACATAGTCGGTTATCCGACACCGAAACCGCAATCGTCGGTGCGGTTAATCCTCAAACCGTGAAACCGCAAAAGTTAATAAAATTGTCAATTTTGGGGGATTGGGGACCTATTATTATTCCTCTCCCGTCTTCATCAAATCCTTCTCTCTCCCCCCCTTTTCAATCCCTGATCTGCCTTCCCCAAATCCCTCTCTCTCTCTCTCTCTCTCTCTCTCTATCTCTCTCTCTCTCTCTCCTCCTCCTCCTCCTCTCTCTCTGACCATCTAAAGCCCTTCAATCTAGGATCTGGAAGGCAGGGAGACAACTGACGGCGACCTAGGAAGGGGAAGAAGGGCATGGCAGCGGCGAATCTAGAGTCGGCGGCAGAGGACGAAGAGAAAGAGCCGCCGAAGGTTGGAGGTTTCGAATCTTTCCAGTTCTCGTCCACCTCCAAGGCTGAAGAAGGCAGGGACGACGGCGACCTACACTCAATCTTCACAGGAATAGACCCTCTTTTCCTTCATTTGGTGGGTCTCGACTGTCGCCGCCTTCTAATCGGCAGAGGCGACAACTTCGACGGAGAATGAGAGTGTAGTGGTGCATGTCTGGTTGGGGCGCCGAGGTTGGGATTGGGGAGATTGGGACGACGATGTCGAGATGGAAGGACGAGGTGGGGAGGCCAGATTTGGTAGAGGTCGAGAAGCTTCTGGATGGGGCGAAGCAGAGGGTGTCTTTAGCCTTCTATTTTATTCGACGGTTACTTATCGGTGCACCGAGTTTTCTCGGTTAGCCACCGTCGGTTTCCGGTTATGGATATTGCCTCAAAATGACAACTGATGCCGACACCGAACACAAATAATCATTTTCGGTTAAACCGACTAACCGCGGATTTCGGTTCGGTTTTCGGTTTTACCGAATAACCGGCGACCGATTAACACCCCTATCAGGCGTGGTGGCAGCAGTTGAAACATACCAGGGCACGGCAAGGCAAGGCGAAGATCACGAGATGGGCTAAGTTCAAGAAGCACTTACGAGCGACGCTCTTGCCCTACAACTTTGATCGAGAACTGTATCAGCGATTCCAGAATCTTCGCCAAGGTAACCGAACCGTCGACGAGTATTCGACGGAGTTCTACTCCTTTCTGGCGGGAGTGGACATCAATGAATCTCCTCTACAGTTGGTATCCCGGTATATTGGTGGTTTACGACTCCAACTGCAGGATGTATTAAATATGGTTGATCCGGTGAACGTTGCGGAAGCTCGGCAGCGGGCAACGCAAGCAGAGAAGCAATTAGCACGGCGTGGTTTCAGCAACCCCCGACCAGCACCCTTCACGGCCAACCGGCCCGAAGCTCCTACTTTGGCTCGAGAAGCGACGACGCCTCCTACATGGCAGAGCTCTCCAGGAAACCCACCGGGGCGTACGGGGGGACTTAGGTGCTTTAATTGCGGTGAAGCCGGGCATCGCCAGGCGGAGTGTCGTAACACGAAACCCATCACACGAGGGCTTTTCTCAGAAGGGGACGCGGCGAAACCAGAACCTCTGACGGACTCCCCATCAGTATATGACGCGTATGACGACACGGAAGAGCTTGTGACGGGTGACGTTGGCCCACTGTTGGTCATCCGTCTGTCTTGCTTGACCCCGCGCCTTCCCGACCATGAGTGGCTGCGCAACAATCTGTTCCATTCGACGTGCACGATAGGTGGCAAGGTTTGTACGTTCATCATTGACGCTAGCAGCTGCGAGAACGTAGTATCTGAGGTGGCGCTGACCAAACTAGGGTTAACGACGGAAGCACACCCTAAGCCATATCGTCTATCATGGCTTAGTTAAGGAACTGATGTGACCGTCTCGAAGAGGGTGCTCGTGAGTTTCTCAGTGGGGGCAACATATTGGGACACCATTTATTGCAATGTGGTCCCAATGGATGCTTGTCACCTACTCCTGGGCCGACCGTGGCAATATGACAACTCGGTACTTCATGATGGGTGCGCTAACACTTACTCGTTCCTATTCCGGGGAACCAAAATTGTGTTGATACCAGCTAAACCTAAGGGAACTATGCCCTCTCAACACCCCGCGCCATCTCCAACAACATTGCTAACTCGCGGTCCATTCCAGGAGGCCATGCGGGAAGGCGGCATGGTTCTCATCGTAGTTTGCTCTTTAAAGTCGAGTAATGATCCGCCCCTCGTCCCGCCGTCCGTTCTACCATTGCTACAAGAGTTTGCTGATGTGTTCCCAAATAACTTACCAAGCGGCCATTACGAGACATTCAACACCACATCGATCTCGTGCCCGGTGCTATCCTCTCCAACCGTCCGCATTACCGGATGAGCCCGCGGGAACATGAAGAGCTTCGCCGCCAAGTCGAGGAACTACTCTCCTAGGGCCATGTTCGTGAAAGCCTTAGTCCTTGCGTCGTACCCGCCCTCCTCATGCCAAACAAAGATGGGATCTGGCACATGTGTGTTGACAGTCGGGCCATCAACAAGATCATTGTGCGTCGTAGGTTCCCCATTCCTCGCTTTGACGATTTACTCGACCAGCGAGGGGGTGCGTCGGTGTTTAGCAAGCTCTATTTAAAGAGCGGGTACCATCAGATCCACATCCGCAATGGGAACGGGTGGAAAACGGCCTTCAAGACTCGGGAGGGTTTGTTCGAGTGGCTTGTTATGCCATTCGGCCTATCCAACGTGCCTAGCATATTCATGCGCGTGATGAATCAGGTTCTGCGCCCATTTATCGGCAAGTGTGTCGTCATTTATTTCGATGACATATTGATCTATAGTACCAGCGAGCAAGTCCACCTCGAGCATCTTCGTGACGTGATGTTGGTTCTTCGGCGCGAAAAGTTCTATGCGGCCACAGCCAAATGCGCCTTCCTCTCGCCTTCAATCCAGTTCCTGAGCTATGTGGTTTCCCAAGAGGGCCTCAAGGTTGACCCTAGCAAAGTGCAAGCCATTGCTCAATGGTCGCGACCGTCGTCGATCACAGAGGTGCGTAGCTTCCATGGCCTTGCATCTTTTTACCGCCGATTTATTCCTCATTTAGGCTCTAAGTTCCATTGGACACCTGATGCTGAGGCCGCCTTCCTTGAGATCAAGCAACGTCTTGTCGCTGCCCCAATTTTGGTGCTCCCGGACTTCGACCATCCTTTCGAACTCCATTGCGAGGCCTCGAAGACAGGAATTGGTGCAGTTCTTAGCCAGTTTGGCCGCCCGGTGGCATATTTCAGTGAAAAGCTGTCTGGTGCTAAGCTCTGTTTTAGTACATACGACGTCGAGTTCTATGCGGTGGTCTAGGCAATTAAGCATTGGCTCATTACTTATCGGGAATTCATCTTGTACACGGACCATGACTCTCTCAAGCACTTGGGTAGCCAGGATAAGATCTCTCATCGTCATGCTTCGTGGATCTCTTACCTGCAACAATTTACCTTTGTGATTAAGCACAAGGACGGGGTTTCAAATCATGTTGCGGATGGATTGAGTCGTCGTAGTGGCCTTCTTTCTGAGCTCCACATCTATGTCCCTAGTTTTGACTCGTTCCTAGAGATCTATGTGGACAATCCATTCTTTTCGCAGATCCTGGAGTGTGTACAGCTAGGGGAGTCGACGGGTTTTCTGTTGGAGGACGGTTTCCTGTTCCGTGGGGTCCAGCTCTGTATACCGCCATGTAGTCTTCGCCTGCACCTCATTCAGGAACTCCACAACGAAGGGCATGTGGGACGCGATCTCACATTTCAGCTCCTCGCCGCCTCCTACTTCTGGACGTCAATGCGCAACGAGGTGGGCCGATTTGTGGCTCGCTGTCGCGTTTGTCAGCTTGCAAAGGGAGCCTCGACCAACACCGGGTTATACTTGCCTCTACCCATTCCTACCCAACCATGGTCCGATGTCAGCATGGACTTTGTTCTTGGACTCCCACGTACTCAGCGCGGGATTGACTCGATCTTTGTTGTTGTCGACCGGTTCTCCAAAATGGCTCACTTCATTCCTTGTCAGAAGACCTCTGATGCTGTAGCAGTGGCTCATCTCTGTTTTCGGGATGTCTATCGCCTTCATGGGCTGCCTGCCTCTATCGTTTCCGATCGTGATTCCCGTTTCGTCGGCCACTTTTGGAGGAGTTTGTGGCGCCTGGTCAATACCCAGTTAAACTTCAGTAGCGCATATCATCCGCAAACGGATGGCCAAACCGAAGTTCTTAATCGGTCGCTGGGCAATCTTTTGCAGAGTTTGGTGGGGGATCATCCCAAGGCATGGGACCAGAAGCTCCCGCAGGCGGAGTTCGCTCACAATCAGGCAGTTAATCGTCCGACGGGCTTCCCTCCTTTTCAGGTCGTCCATGGGTTATCACCGCGGGGGCTAAGTGATCTCCTATGCCTCCCTAGTAAGGTCCGACCCCATGCCACTGCCGCTGAATTCGTGGAGCAGCTCTCCCACATCCATCGTACTACTCATGACCGTCTGGTGGCGTCCACCGCTGCCTATAAGACTGCTGCTGACCGCCACCGCCGTGCTGTTGACTTCGCGGTAGGTGATTTCGTCTGGGCTGTCCTTACCAAGGACCGCTTCCCAGCCCGTGAGTATAGCAAGTTGGCGGCCAAGAAGATTGGTCCAGTCGAGATTATTGAGAAGATTAATTCTAATGCTTACCACCTGCGCTTGCCTAGCCATGTCCGTACGTCAGATGTGTTCAACGTCAAGCATCTCATTTTGTTCTGTGAGGATTCTTCGTCCGATGAGGAGCTTGTTGTGGCCAATTCGGGGTCGAATCTTTTCCAGCCAGAGGAGAATGATGCAAACGCATGCACCAACCATGCAACGCATGCGACGTAGTTCCTTGGTTCCTTTTTTGTTTTGGTTTTCCTTTGTTGTGTCGGCTTTTGTTTTGCTTTCTTAGTCGGTTAGGGCTTGTGTTAGTAGCTTTCTTTATAAAGGCCTTGAGTCCTTTGTGTTTCGGCAGAACTTTTAATTGGAATAGAAGAAGAGAAGAGGAGTTTCCTTGCATATATCATCTCTCGGCTATTCGTAGAATCAACGAGTTGCGATCAATCGTACTTCCATCCGCGTACGCTGCATCACAATGAGGAGGAGAGCTCTCTCCAATTCAAGTCTTCTTCTATTTCTTCACATGTATCTCCCCCCCCCCCCCCCTATCTTTATGGGGTATCTCTTCCAACATACTAGGGGTTAAAACCCCTACTAGCCTGCAACTGAATCGAGAACTAGGTAGGAATTTTTAAAGTTAGACTGGATTTGAGCGTCTTATGACTAATTAAGGGTCGATGAATGATCTTAGGATTCCTTAGTGGGCGTGGCAACCGAACCCCTACTATAGGCCCTCCTAAAGCAATGCTAGAGAGGTCATACGTGTTATGATCGAAATGCCGATCTAGTGTGCATGATAGGTTCAACATGTTGAGAGAAACTAAGTGAGCATCCCTAGTACGTGAATTGTGACTGAGGTGACATTGGGTCTCTGGAATCATGCTAGGAGGAGGGAAGTAATCATTGAAACCCTCAGTTGAGTGAGTTATGCACTCTATCCTACCAACCCAACAGAGTTAGTCATTTGCATGATGAACATAGGTTTAGGAGTGAGGGAGTTACCCCCAATAGCTCTTCTCTTCTATCGATCTTTAGTTCAGTAATCGCCAACTGCCCACCTCCTAAGTAACACTAGATAACGACTGAGTCTAAGTAGCCTATTATATCGTGACCCTTGGAATACGACTTCAGTCACCACTATACACTTCGGGGATCTAGGGTGCACTTGTCCTGGGTTGGAGTAGCTAGTATTTTGGACGATCGAGTTTATAAATGTAAAACTCGATGCATGAATGCTTCACTTACTTAATGGATGGTCCTTGTAAGTAATCAATGTTAACCTCGTGTTACATAAGGTGCTAGTCATTACGGAAGTCTTACTAAACGCTTCTGATTTAAGTGCCACGTAAGAAATAATAATCATTCTATAACCTTTAAGTAATGAATGTGTACTTTACATAACATTTGTAAAGTGTCATACGAAATTCTTACGTAATGGACGCTCATTTTGCGTAATGAATATTAACATCTGGTTACGTAAAGTGTTAAGTCATTATGGAAGCCTTACTTAAATGCTTCTGAGTTGACTGTTATGTAAGAAGTAATTACCGTTTAGAGCTCTACGTAATGGATCCATAACAATTGTTAAGCGTCATTACAAAAGTCTTACGTAATGAAAATTAAATTTGTGTTATGTAAAGTGTTAAGTCACTACGAAAGTCTTATGTAACGCTTATGATTTAATTGTTATGTAAGAGACAACTGTGGTTCACCTTTAGGCAATGGATTGGTCTTTAGGAAAAATCTTTGTCGTTGGTTGACAAAGAACTATAAGCTATAGCTCATCTAGACACTTATCAGAAATCCAGTCAAACCCTATTAGTTGATCCAATTGAAGAAGCACATTTTCTTTATGACTTCACATCTGCACATGTACTTGTGTGGCTAAAAATACTTGGACAAAAGCCTCTAAAGGACAGCAGATTTGCAGCCGCAGGAATTTTCGGTGGCCAGAAACGAAACGCCCATGTTGAAATCGGTTTGCTTCCCATCTGCAGACTGAAATGAGAAACCAGACAGGTTTTCCGCCGGCCAGGTAAGGCCGACTTGAACAGAGCCCCATCTTCGTGTGTTCTCCCATGCTGGGGTAAGGGGCCAAGAGGAGACAAGGCTAAACTAACCCAACTTTTACAAGGCAGTTTTGTGTTGTTTTGGAAAAACTGTCTCTTTGGCACAAAGAAATGAACCCATTTGATTGAATCAGATCCCACTACTCCAACTGCAAAAGGGTTGCCAAAGAATATATGAAATATCAACCCCCATGCCTTGTTCTCTGCAACTTGCCAACCATATCGATCTGCAGAGACCAGAAACTCGTTGTTGTCCAATTATTGCTTCACCAACGCCCCCCTTGTTTTGCCCTTTACATTCTCTTGCTAAATCAAAAGCAGGAAACCTAAAGAACTTGAACTCCTCACCTTTTCGAGACCGGCTCGTGTTCATACGGGAATGATTAGTGACTTGCACAAAACTGTTTCCTATAGATCACGAGACGAGGATAGAGTGCAGAGACGGCAAATGTAAGTAGGTTTATTGGTACTTGGTAGTGCGCATTCTATTGAAAAATTGACGTGATTAGGAGGTAGTTCGATAATCTGTGAGGTCTATGCCTGATAGTGGTTGGGTGAAGTATCTAAAATTTTGGATTTTAGCAGTAAAATAACAGAGGTAGATTAGTAAGGTATTGCGTTGTCATTCTGACAATTTATTCTGTAACTAACAGAAAGTGCAGGCACTCGAGTCGAGTCGAGAGTAATGGGTTTGGGTTTTATTTGCTTTAAATCGTATTTTAGACACCGTACCCTACTTATCGGTCTGACCAAAAATACCTGATACCATATTCCAGACATAGGCCGTTTTAACTGCATAAATCAAATGAACCATGCTTAAGTTACAATTTTGGGACAAAATATTCAGACTTTTCCGGTAAATTTTACGATTTCACAATCCTTAATTTCAAGTGCAGGAAAAGCATCTCCTCAAGATCCTTAGTTAAGGTTGACTTAATTAAAGCCTTTGACTCTGTAAATTGGACTTTTCTGTTTAGAGTGCTTGAAGCCATGGGTTTTCCAAAGAAATTTCTTGACTGGTTGAGAATGTGTGTTACTACACCAAAGTTCAGTATTGGTTTCAATGGTGGGTCAGTAGGTTTCTTTCCAGCCAAGAAAGGTTTGAGGCAGGGGGACCCCCTTTCTCCTTATCTCTTTGCTGTGGCCATGGAGGTCTTTTCTTGCTTGATGCATAAGGCTGTTACTCAAAATGCTATGCCCTTCCACCCTATGTGCAAAAGACTGCAGATTACCCATTTAATGTTTGCGGATGATCTCTTATTATTATCTGATGGATCAAACTTTGGAATTCAGTGTATCCAAAAGGTATTGAATGAGTTTAGATACATGTCTGGATTGAAATCAAACTCTTCCAAATGTGAACTTTACTGTGGAGGTATTGATGATCAGTGGCAGGAGTTGATGTCTCAGCATTCAGGGTATAAGCTGGGGTCACTTCCAGTTAGATATTTAGGCCTCCCTTTGCTCCCTGGTAAACTTTCTATCAAGGCTTGTAAGCCTCTAATAGACAAAGTTATGAATAGAATCAGTAGTTGGAAGTCAAAAACACTCTCTTATGCTGGCAAACTCCAACTGGTGATATCTGTGCTGTATAGCCTTGCTCATTTCTGGATGTCAATTTTTATTTTGCCTAAGGCTATCATTAAGGCTATTGAGAGTGTGCAGTGATTTTTTATGGGGAGTAGGAGAGGGTGCCAGGAGAAAGGTTGTGGTGGCTTGGTCTCGAATTACTTATCCCAAACATGAAGGGGGACTTGGTCTTAAAGATATGTATACTTGGAACCTTGCTTGTGTGGTTAGACATATCTGAGCTGTTCTACTTAGACAAGGGTCACTATGGGTTGCATGGCTATGGGAATATCGTATAAAAGGAGTCAATTTCTGGACTCTTACCTCTAAAGCTGGGTCTTGGTTATGGCAGAAAGTATTGAAAATCAGAGATAAAATCAGTGGGTGGCTATCTGTTGCTACTGATGGGGTTTATTGGAAGGGTGCTCTTATGAAAAAATTTTGCATAAGGAAGATTTGGGAGGAACTTCGACCAAAGAAGGGTAAAGTTGCTTGGGGGAAACTGGTATGGAAAGGAACTAGCATCCCAAAGAACCAATTCCTGGTTTGGCTAGTTATTTCTGACTGTATCACCACTGGAGAGAAGGTTCAAAGGTGGGGAGGTACTGGTGACTTTGGCTGTGTTTTCTGTTCCTGTAGCCTGGAAACAAGGTCCCATCTTTTTGCTGCTTGCTCTATGTTTAAACAGATGTATGCAGCTTTGTTTTGCAATTTTGCAGATCGACTCCCAGGAGATCAATGGGATGGTGAGCTTCAGTGGGCCTTAAACGTTTTCAAAGGCTCCACTGTCTTAGCACAAACTGGAAAGCTGATTTGGTAAGCTCTAATTGCATCAATTTGGAGAGAAAGATGCTTGATAAAGTTTGCAGGGAAGAAAACTGATTTCCAAGCTTTGATCCATAGGGTTCAAGGAGACATAAGGGTGGTTGGAGATCCTGTAGCAATGTGTTTGTTCTTTTGAATAGATGAGTGAGTGATTAATCTGGTTTTGTTGTGTACAGGGGCTTGTTGCTCTCTTTGCTCAGCTGGCAGAGTTGTTGCCAGCATTGTACTTGGCTATTTGATGAAATGAAATCCCAACCGCTTCAAAAAAAAAAATTCAAGTGCAGGACAGAACTGTAAGATGGAGGCAAGCATTTTCTATAGTGGTACAAATCGACGCCAGTTAACTTTGTACATAAATAGCTATTCTATGCAAACTAGTCTTGAACGGATGTCCCTACTCACAAGTCACAATTGAAAGAGGACTTCTTAATTTACTTACAAAACTTATCACAGTTAGCTGCTGCCTTGCCAACTACAGCTACAAGCAAAGCGTAAAAAATCTAATTCCCTCATCAGCACAATCCCAAGAAGGATTGTCACATTGTTGCGACGGAGCCTTCCAGTTTTTCACATTCTGAAATCCAAGACACAAACAGTGTTGTTTGCGGAACAAGCGGCGATTTTATCGCCTTCTTTGTTCCAACATACTTCAAATATTCCACCGTTGCCGGTGTACTTCTTCACGATGTTTCCGTCCTTCAACGACCAGACGTTTATGCATCTGTCAAGAGAGCCGCTCGCCAGATACTCTCCGTTGGGGCTGAACGCGACGGAATAGACAGGATCCCTGCACACAGTCGGAGGATAGATGGTCAACAATTTTGCGGAAATAATTCCCTAGACTTTGAACAAAGGATTCTACTTGTGCACTGCTATAACACAGTGTAGGAACAATTGAAACCAAATCAATGACGTAAAGACTTTTCAGCTGCAGAATGACTGGAAGGAAACTTCTGTTCATCACAAGAAAAGAAATTACCTGTGTCCGCACAACGTGGAGATAAGTTTCCCAACCTCCACATCCCACAACTTCACTGTTGAGTCGAATGATGCACTGTGGATAACGCAGCACACAAGATTCCATTATACAAAGAAATATAGAAATCAGGTTGAAAGGGACAGAAGAAGTTGCTAACGACCTAGAAACAGGGTCAAAATTATAATCAGGACCATATCGGTAATAGAAACGAGTCAAAGGTCATCAAATCCAAGTATAAAGACATATAAGTGTGTTCGGTGCAACTCAACTTTTAGGGTCTCATATTTTAGAAGCAAGCAGCCTTTGCGCTCAAATCAAACACTCTCCCCATTTAACTTTAGCCACATAAACCCCTCATGTTTTTTTAAATTGTATCAACCCAATGGCACAGAATTTTTAAACAAGGACTCCAGTTTTGATCATTCTACCTTCTCTTTTTCCTTGTTTTAGAAGAATTCCCTTTCAATGTTAATAATCTTACTTGACAAACAACACCCATCAGAAAGAAGAAAAAAAAAAAACTTCAATGACACTACTTTCCTAATAAGAACTTCACCAAAGACTTCATTCTTATTTCTCCGGCTCGGTAAATTCAAAAAGCCTAAAGAAACGCATCCAAAAATGAAAAACCCTACCTTGCCAGCACCAATTGTTGGTTAGGATTATTGGTACCAGGTCCAGTAGGACTCCATCGAAGTGTATATATTTCCTGCAAAGAACCAGATTAGTTGTATAATCTAACTGGAAAAGGATCCTATAGCAAACAACATTTTTTATGAAAACTGGAATTCCAAAGTACCTTGGTGTGTTCCCTTAGATCATAAACATACTTCTCTTGTTTCATGCTCCATACCTGCAGCATGATTGGACTTATAAGTCGCCAACTTAAACAAGCAACCCAATGAAAAACCTAACTTAGAAGCTCTTGCGCAACAGAAATGCATGCAAGTATCATGAAATTCAGAAATTGAGAAAAGCAAATTGTAAATTGATGAATAAATGAAGAAGACAGTGCAAACAACCTTAGCACTGATGTCGTCAGAGCAAGATGCCAATAGCTGACCTGCTGGATCCCACTTAACACAATTAACCTCACCCTGAAAATCAGAAGACAAAAATAGCAGCCATTAAAGGATTACATTTTGTGAGGAAACTACAATCAGTTCATTGGAAACCCTGAATAGAATGCCATAAATGGAAAGCACATAACCAGCCCTTTAAACAGAGCAATCCATTCAAGTAGGCAGAGAGCATGTCTAGGTCTATAAGTACTATCCTATGAGCAGAAAGAGAGTCAGGACATTCAGAGCACAGCCATGCCCAAGTCTAACTTGGACTACAACCATACTAAACTGATGTCAGACTCATACAGTGCCAAAATATCCTTCATTTATTAAGATAGTAAGAGGACTGTTGACATTCGTGAAATATAAATTAAATAGAAGTTCACAGCTGATCAGACTCTAACTGCAGCTTGGTCACGTTATTCTTGGTGTGCACTCACCCATATGTCAAATATGACCAGCAACAATCTCTAGCCCACCAGCTCAATCTTTTTTTTTTTAGTGGGTATATTAAAGCTCTACTAAGAGTCTAGAAGATAGTCAGTTGGAAATGCACACATAGCCAACACAGAATTCAAGGCTTCGATTCAGTTCTCAAATTTAACAGTGAACATAGTTCCTTGGACATACCTGATGGCCAGCAAATGTCTTTATTGGGCGTGTCTCTCCAACTTTGCATACATATATCATATTGTCTGTGGAGCTTGTTGCAAATGAAACATTGTTGCGCCAATCAACATCAAGTATAGGACCTAAAATATACTCAATTACTCAATGTTTTATTCCAGAAATGAAGAGCAGAGAAACAATACCAAGACACCTGTTCAAATAAAAAGAAAAAAGAAAAGAAAAATGAACCTGTGTGGAACTCAAACTGTTGCCGCCATTCCTCAGCTTTCACATCCCACACTATCGCCGTTTTGTCACAGCTTCCAGTTAGAAGGAAGTCTCCCTTCTTGTTCCACTTTAGAGAGAAAATAGGTCCTTTATGTTTGGATAGAGTACTTTTCAGCTCCCCTGAACCCCAAATAGACAAGACACAAATTCAGAAGATAGTTAGCCCCAGCTCCCTCTATATCAACAATATTCATTGAAACATTTAAGTTCAATGAGACACCAACAAATTCGGAGCTCCCAAAGTCAATAAAGTCATGATCGAAGAGTACACTTTTACACTTGGCCTGCCTCCAGTGATTCAATTCCTTATCAAGCTTTAAAGAATATGTATATTCACAAGGATAATTCGCAAGAATTCATGTTAAACAGATGGCTGGGACAGATGATCTAACAATTCATTAATTATTGCATTATTATAGGTTCCAATGCTGGAAGTAGAATGCAAGCTAGAACACCCTACCGGTCGTACTCCATATTCTGGCTTGCCCATCATATGAACCTGTAGCAAGTAATGTTCCCTCACCCTGCAAGCAGAAAGCAAAAAATCACAATTTAAAAGAACCTTATATACGACACATCTATTTGCACTCATTTTAACAAAATGAAGTAACAGTTCATCGCTCTAGGTTCATTGAACTTCGAGACGATGGAATGACCACACGAGAGATTCTAATGAGCACACAGACAACGAAAAGACTGACAAAATCTTATATCCACTGCACAAGCCGACAAAATTTCCACAAGACACTGGTACACCATTGATGCTTTGACATCCATGAAAACAAAATCAACATGCCAATTTAAAACTACTCTTGTTTAACGACGAAGGATTTAGCACAGCTTACATTCCAATCCAGTGTCGTCACATCTTTACTCTTCTCGTTTGTTCTCCCCTTTACATGCTTCAAGACCAGTACATTTGCCGGACCATTCTGCATGCTAGTTCTAGCAGTCCCTTCCGCAACAGTCCATATACGTGCAGTTGAATCTCCAGATCTACCATGTAAGGCAACAAGCATGAAACTTCTCCAATAAAACTAATAAAATGCAAGTTCAACTCATGGTGTGCAACATGCAACAGATCCAGAAAACACAAACCAATATAGTAGTCACAGTTAATATAAGTTTCTTAGTTAATAGAGACCAACCCTGATGCGAGAAGTGATCCAGTAGGACTCCATGCACAGGCACAAACCTAGAGAAAAGGAGGAAATACAATTTTGTCAAGTTGACTTTACCTGAAAACAAGAATAAAATCAAGCTAAACGGCACATAGCCAACGGAAATGGTCAACAATTACAAACCTCCGAAGCATGACCTTCCAATATCATCACATCGGAACTACTAATTTCACATGTCTGAGATGTTGATGGAACAGCTATCTCCACTGGTTCCGCACCTATTATGAGTAAGAGAGACATGAATTACGACGAAGTAGTTGAAGAAAAGAATAGAGCAGAGATACGAGGGACACAAACAAACTGACAGAAGGACAAATCCAGCAATTTCTCCATATAGCATTAGTATCACAATACTCAGGCGTATTCTTGATAACAAGAACAAATGTCATTCTTCTATTATAACTAGAAGAAAGGATTCATCTTTATGGTTCCATATTCATCTTACTTTCACTTTTGTTAACTCATGCTAGAAGGACTATTATTTCCTAAAATTTCACACACTTGTGTGCTGGCTTCAGGGAGCAGCTGAAGATATCAACATACGGAACAAAAAGTCATCTTCGCACAGCAGGCCAACATGGATCATCGACATAAATAAGCTCACCTCCGGTAATTCCATTTTCTTCTTGTTTGACAACAGTCTTCTCTTCTTGGTCAGGAATGGCCCCTCTTTCAGCATTATTTTCAAGTTGCTTTTCTCGATCTCTCACTTTTTCATTCCTCTCTCTATCCTTTTCTACCTCTTTTTCCCGTTCCTTTCGGTCCTTCTCTTTTATACGTGTGCGTTCTCTTTCATGCTCCTTCTCAGTCTCCTTATCCTTTTCTCTCTCTTTCTCTTTCTCCTTCTCCTTCTCCTTCTCTTTTTCTCTCTTATCTCTGTCCTTCTGCAGACCTTTTTTCCTCTCTTTGATCATTTGCCGCAACTCACGGACATCTTTTGTGATTAGATCCAAAGGTTGCAGAAATGAGAAATCTTCTTCAACGTCAGCATCACTCTGCAAGCTTAAAACAAGCCTAGATCAACCAAATTCAAAAGCACATCTAATCTCAAATAATTTTTTGGGAGCAAAAGAATTATGCATGCTTACATTACTCAAATTTGCTTCCATCTCCAAGTACTGCAATCCCTTTTGCACAAATGTTATAAGAGAAGCTGGAGGAACCATGTTGCCATCTATGGTGCATTTGTTAATACCCGCCTCATAACCTAAAGCAAATGCTGAATGTGTGAAACCTGCAAGTGTAAAGTAACAAACATTCGAAACAGATTCTGTTAACATCTCTGTTATGAGAAGATTCTCGTCTGTGGAAAGGAATCTCTTGACTCGATGATCTTCTGTAATAACTTCAAATGTTGAACAAGAAAACATGAGAATCCACATTCAAACAGTCCAGGTAAGCAAGTCGAAAGACAAAGTTTCCAGGCTTCCTCTATCAAATATAGCCATTCCTTAAAGGAACTAACTACAATAACTTTGCATCCTACATTCAAGGTCATTGCAGTACTAGAAACGCCATCCATTGTGCTAATTCCCTACAGTTAACTAGCTACAATTACTTAGTATCCTGCATTCAAGGTTCAAGTAGCCACAGAACACCATCCACAGTTTTTTGTGAAAAGCTCACAAACAATTTGCATTCTGCGCTCTAAACAAACGAATGGACGCTTAAAGACACCGACAAAAGAACATAAATAAACGAAACATGACCAAATACCCTAAACAAACGCTACAACAACCCTACCAAGCAGCAAAAAAAAAAAAACTACATGAAGTTTTAACAGATCTGCAAGCCTTGCATGCTTTCTCCCCCCAGTGAAACGAAGATAAGAACACTCTCTCGTGAACGAAAACACCAATTACCAACTAAAAGCAACATAATTTACCGATGGTTCAAAACTCAAAAGCCTCTGCCTCGAAACCGAAACCCTAATTATGTCTACCATGAAGATAAAATCTCTAATTCTGTTCAGGAGAAACCGGATTCAAAGAAAAGGGGACACCACGACTGACCTGACTCTTGAAGGTACCGGAAGACGAGGTAGTTCAATTCGACGGAAGTGATTGACGTCATGGTTTGGTAGTCGCCGGAATCAAACAGCTCCCCTGCTTCCGATTTACGGAGCGCGGCCAAGCTGCTGCGAGGAGGAATTACAAACTAGGCGAAGGTGAATGACGCCGAAGAGCTGCCGCCCGCTGAGACGGAGTCACCCCCACACCGTATACCGTAGGGAGTCGTTTTCTCTGCTTCCTCTCTTTTCTGTATGGTGAAGGGTAATGAATTATGTGCACTGTTGAGCTTAGCCACAGCCATGGAGATTTCGACCTGGACGGTGACAACTGACAAGTAAAGTCTGATTTCTCTTAACGGATTTCTTTTGGCCCAGGTTGCCTTCTTTCGGGCCACCGACCCGAAGCAACCACGACTCGATTAAAATCAAGTTCGGCCCACCAAAAACTCCGTATGGAAAGAGGAAACTAGTAACCAACCAAGACGGGTCCGGCCACTAATTTTATTAAAAAAAAAATTATAATATTGACATGGTTCATCCAAAAAAAGTACTAGTTGGTCAGTTGGTCGGATTCAATTAGTGATCACGTAAATAATAGTAGCAATGTATCCGAACTATACACTATAAAAAAATCTAAATTTTTCAAATACTCTAAACAATAAACATTCGAATTGATTGGTAAATAAGAGAATCCATATTATTAAAATAGTTCAACCGTTCAAAAAAGATCAACACCATATTGTTTTCTGGCATTCTAGTGACTAATTGACTAAAATCCTTCAATGAAAATAAAAGGGAAACCTCATGCATTTGGAACTGATTCCTAAAGACAAATTAAAATTACCCTTCTAATTACTCCTCGTCGTCAAAGATTACTGCACGTTTTCTTTTTGATTATTTGCATTTCCTCTTACATGGGAAATAGCCTCATCGTCACACTTAATAATGTCTTCATCGCCATTAGTGATACCTTTAAGTGGAATTTGCAAAAACAAATCACCATTTTCATTCAGTAGAATTTACCTTATCCAAGTTACGAACAACGTCCAAGATTTGTTTTTTCTCCCCATCAACTGTCTTTATATCTTCCTCACGAACAATGTTTGTCTTCTTCTCAACACCATCGTCGTCTCTAGCACCGGATTCAGTACCTCCACAATTAGCAGTGTCATTCTTATTGTCCTGCAACAACATTATGGATTTAGAGCACCAACATTCAAAAGTACAACATATTGTGTGGTTTTATGGAATCATCAGTGATCTATGTACTTGAGATAATATTGTAGGTGGATACAATTGATTGCAAGCTAATGTGAAAGGGAGGAAAGTTCCAAACTAAATACCAAGATTAAAAATACCAAATCCGCTATATTTTCAAGTAGACAGAGAAAGAAATAAAAGGATGTTCTCAAAATTTTAAGTAGTGGAGCCTAATTTATGTCAATTGAAATAATCCATGCCAATTATGTTAATTAAAACCTCTCCTTTCATTCCCTAGGCAAATTAAATGTGAGTAGAAGACAAACGTAGCTTGTCTAAAATGTATATCTCCATATTCTAATCCAAGCAACCAATCTCCTGGAATCTTTTTATGTTAACAATATTTAATATTTAATTTGAAATCCGTACGTATTATTTCCTTGTGTACCAATACCATGCTTTGCTAATTATTAAGAAAAATGTTATATATGATTGCATTGGTAATAAATCTATGAATTCAACAAAAAAAATGATATAAAGTATGTGGTAGAAAAGTAAACTTTCCACCATTTGGCATGTATATTCCTCAACAAACTATATATGCCAATCCCAATTTCCAACTAATAATGGTTGCATTATCTAGTTGTTGTTGTCTATAATGTCGTTGTACAATTTTCAAAGAAATACATCAAAATCTTCTTCGAGTTTTTTTAGGTAGGTTTCTTATCTAGCATAGCACAACCTCTTCTTAACTTTGATAGCTTTATATTTGACGGAGTACATATTTCCCTACACATTACAAAAAGTGTTAGCATTTTATAGTTAATAGGGTTGCTAAATTGAAATTGATACTTACCTCTTCTCCATCTTTCATTTTTAATTTATTTAGCTCATGTAGTGTTTTGGTTGAGAATAGCTAATGATGTTTTTTTGTGCTTTCCATTGGAGGAATAGTTGGATCACCGTCACTTTATTCACAAAATAGAATGGTAACTAATCTTGTTTCCTTTTTAAAATTTAAACTTATAATGCATAAGCAAATACGATGATTAAATTGTCGTGAATTTCACCTTGTCCCAAAATCAACTAGCTTATTACCCGGCCCCTTGGCCGGACGTAGTCTCAGAAATTGGTACTCTTATTTTGACTATATTAACAATTAGCATGTATGCGACAATGGACAGAGGTAGGTCAACAACTCCATAATAATCTGATGGAAAGTTATAATCCCATTGCATTACAAAAGAAACATTAAAACATAAACACTATAGTGGACAATCCAAATGAAGTCATTAGCTCTAAATCTAGCCACACTATTGCCAAGCACCCTAATGCCTCTAGAGTGAACATGAAAAAATCAAAAAAATGCTCAATTGGCTCCAATTTTCAATGGTGAAAATGGAAGCCACTAAGAGATTTCACAAAGAAAACGCAATATGGATTGCCCTTAGACCAAAAACAACAATGGCACCAAAGGTGATGAATCCCTGGAGAAAACCGAAACCAACAATGTCCAAATCAAGTCGATGAAATAAATAGGCCATTTTTTATGATAAATAGTTTTGTTAATTAAAATGACTGAAAAATAAAAGAAATACAAAACATGCAATCTGCTGTAGAAATCTCAGATACAAACAAAAGAAAAAGGCAAGCAACATATGCCTAGTAACACCAACAGATAACAACTTTTGTCAATACGCCTAGCACTGTGAAATCCTACCAAATCACTCATAATCACTCTGCTACGCTACACACACAAATGACTTACAACTCTGCACTTTCTATCTCTTCAATATATATAAGTCAATTGTCATGTAACCTCTCCATTATCACGATTTTTATCCTTCTCGACAGCAAACACGCTGATTGGTCCTTTCTTACTCCTTCGTGGCAGCTACATGACATTTTGCATCAGTACACATTAATCCAAACGACCATTCCATTTCTGCAATTTATGGCTTGAGGTAATATCACTTCTGTCATAATACGAATTTACAAGAAATGAAAGAAATGATCAGTATAATAGCCTTATAAAATTTAGAGTATGAATGACGATTCCTCTCTTCTCATTGTTGGCTTCGTCAATAAAATGATATTGACGGTTGTCTCTACCAACGTGTTCTATATGATCATAGTATGGTCGTTTGTATAAACTGTTTCTACCTTACCCATTTTTTCATCGCAACTCCAAGAGCTAACTTGTTGGGGCTCTCCTCTCGGTAAACAAATTGTATCAACATTAGGAATGACAAAACATTGCTTTGGTCGAGATACCCCAATCAATTTAACATGGGTCATTGCTCTCTTACCATCTAAATTAAAGAGGAAGCTCAGGTTAGTCTCTTTCATAGGTTAACTTGACAATTTCTTAGAGTAGATACAATCACAATTCACAATTCCAGAATAACCAACTCAGATAATACAATCTTATAGAAACAACACTAATGAAGCACCCAAATTACAATTTTTTACATGTTTCTTATGAGAGTGTGCATGTTCAGATTAAGAAAAATAGAAGGATTAGGGAGGAGCTTACTTGGTTTGCGGTTTTGATGAGCAAAAATCTCGTCAATAAATTTCAGGTGGAGATGTCCAATCGGTCGGGTCTAGACATGCATATATTTCAACAGACTATACTACAAATACAAAGAGTTCGGTTTGTCCTTCCCATGACAACATATTCTCACCATATATTTATTCCTTGCAGAGAGAAGAATATCAAACCATCTTGTATCTGCTCCAATTATTGCAATTACTCGTGCTTTTTATATTTTAGTAATTAGAACTCTACTTTTAAATCTGGAAGCAAGTGAACACTATCATGAAAGGAACCATGTTTTATATGTTGAAGATCAGCATTATAGTTTGAATAGTTCAATACAGTAACGATCTCAGCTCCTACATATAAAATCTATGTAAAAGTGGTATGATTGAAGCTATTCAGTATGTTAACACTAAATGGAATAATCTTTGTTTACTGGAAATTAACCACAAAAACATTTCAAATCAGGAATATGATGATACTGAAAAGGAGTATCATAACAAAAGCAACAAAAAGTATAATTATGTATCTTTAATCAACTCAAAAGTCAACCTAGAAAAGCAACCAAATGAATTGATGGTTAAGAGATCACACATTACTGTCAAATAAACTAAATAACCCACCGATCACTGTCAGCTCTCCAAGCAAGAACGCTCAACCTTTCCATATTTACCCCTTCAAAAATTGCTCTGGCATAAAAATATAAGTGGAGGAGGTTAGGCGGTTGTCGAGTCTGGTAGGGGTGTTCAAACAGTGTGGTTACCATGGTAACCGTTTTAACCGGTAGCATTTGGCAAATTTGGTTTGATTAATTTGGATAATTGGTTTGATTTGGTTATATTTTTAGCTTGTTTGGTTTAGATGGTTTGGTTTGGTTTCAGACACTCCTAACCAATCAAACCAAATTAACCAATTAAGTAATTAGCCATATATCTAATATATTTTATATACACATACTTAATACTTTGCATAACCACTCAAGAGTCAAATGTAAGATAATTGTATTTGTTACATGTATTTGTGTAAAAGGTTAGCTATAATTATGTGTTGATTGTTATGTGTTATTCATTTATATGAATGGATGCACTAACCGGAAAATTTTCTCACTTAATGATAATGTAATGTTATATTGCTTATTTTGTTAACCAATTAACCAAATCGATTAAACTGTAGTTTGGTTATGATATTGTATTTCATGGTTAATAGAATGAGGCTTATTTGGTTTGGAAATTACCATGGTAACATTTGAACACCCCTTAGAGTCCGGTGGGAAGGTTTGGAGAGACGGTGATGGTTGAGTCTTTAGTGGGTCGGGACACTATTTAGACCCATTTACATTAGTTGTGCCTTATCCATCCGCGTTCAACAAACCAACATCACTCAATCTTTCCATATTTACCCCTTTCTTAAAGACACATGTGCTACGTATTCACTCAAAACTTCAGTGTTAAAAAAATATTGTTGTGTTATGGTAGTTATAAAATTTAAGTCTATGTTAAGAATTCTACATTTCTTCTACACATTCAATACTGGAATTCAATATACAATACTTGCACCAATGACGTTAGGGTTGCGATTTTAAAATAATTCTCTTTTATA